CAAATAACACACCTTAGTGAATTTGTGTTCACTCAAATTATATTTTTTTTTAAATCTGATTTATTTGACATTAAAAAGCTCCTGAACCACCATTGACCTACCAACAAACGGACGTCGGGCTAATACAAAAAGCACAAAAAAATTGTCCGGAGTTAACCTATACAAAACGTAGTGACATGTAAAGAAATATAAAAAAACTAAAACATTTAATTTAAATCGTAACGTCCTTGCAATACTGTTTAATTTTGCTTGCAACAATTTAAAGGCCCAAAAATTCACCATATTCAGCTTCTACTGGCAACTAAACAAAATGTAAACTAAACAAACCACTATTTCATTAATCCCTACTGGCGATTTACAACTTTTTCCAGCTTAACCATGATAGGTACTGGACAACGATCCTAAAGTCCATTCCACATAGCATGGGTACGGTGACGTTTGAGATCTGAAGTTTCTAGAGATGAAGTGATGTAAAATCGAACGAAAAACAACGATTTAAATATCTTATTGACGTATTTTATTTTTTATTCGGGACTTAATCACGTGTAAAACATATTTTAATTAACTCGACATTTTGGACGTATTGCAACGTCCGTGATTTCGAAGGGACTGAATAAACGTAGTGCTTAAATTCTCTTTGGGACTGAAAAGGCGGGTGTCAGCATCTTCTAGCCGTGCGAGTTTTTCTAACTACCCGCACTTAATCTTCGTTATTTATTTGTGCACTAGGGTTGTCACTAGACCGACACACAACACTCACGACATCCGGCGACAAATTTATCTATTTCTTTCAGTAGCCTGATTTTGAGAGTAATTAAAAATAGTATGTATGTAACATAAAAATTTGAAATGTCACAGTACCCACCTTATGTCAAATGGACTACAGAAGACTCCATGAATTTCGAAGATATTTTGATTGGCATTCGCAGATTTTGTAGTAATGGCTCATCAAAAAGATAAGAGGAAGTTTTCACGATACTAATGTCCGTCCCAAATGTCCACCCTATATCCTACATCCTGCATAGATATTCCGTGGCCAGAACATGCCTATATAAAGCATAGCATTCGAAGATATTTGATATTCCGAAGTTCGCTCTTACATGCTATTCTTTAAAATGAAAATATAATTACCATGCTTAGCGCTAGTTTCCATCTCAGTAAGCTCGGCGAGCACAGTCACGTACCACTCGAAGTCGATTACGTGTTGGTAGTTGTTCTGCGAGCAGATCTCGATCATGCGCGTGAGCAACTCGTCGCGGTATAACGTGCCCTCTGCGCGTTCCATGTGCACCATTAATTTCTTTACGATTTCCATTAGGTTTTTCTTCGATACCTGTAGGAAAGGTGCAAAATTTCTTAAACATTTGTGAAATTGTAATAACGTGTACGACGAATTGTGTTTTCTATAGGATCTTATCATTTTATTTGATGACATATAACACGATGTTTTACTACTACGATATTCAATTATTTTTTGTGATCCTGCTTTACCTATGCACGGTATGCTGAAGGCGCTGGTTCGAAACCAGCCAGATCGATAAAAAAAAATTCGTTAGTGTTCGACCTTCGTATTAATAACTATAACAAACTAGTGCAGAATTTTACAACAAATAATTGAAGATTAGTTATTACTTTTTTTACTTAAAGAAAAATATAACACTAGACAAAACTGATTATCGAATTCGGCTAGAGTTATAGTTTACATTTCACTTTCCTACAGTATTTGCCATTTTAGGAAAGAAGACCTGTTTTTGTACTGGCGAAATTTGTAAAGAGAAATAAATATTATTACATATATTTTAGATTACCATTCCGTAAAGCAACCCGAGGGCTCTGAGACGGATGGATTCGTCTTTATCGTCAAGACACGCCAGCACGAGGTCCTTATGCGCCTGCACCGACTTCGGGTGTGACTTCAGAATACGCGACATCGCAAGAAGGCCCAGGTACTTCACTGTATATATAAAAAAATATGTATATTAAAAAATCACGTATACTATAAGTAGAGCTCTAGCTCGAAAAGGCCTTTTTCTTTCGACAAAAGTTGATGACAAATTAAACTACGCGATTTGTTGTACATTACTTATTTATGTAATATAAATCCGTTGGTATATTTTATTATTATTATTGTTGACATTAAATTGACAATGATAACTAATTGTGTTTATTAAATTATTTTCGTCAAAGATTAAAAGTACAAGGAAGAATAAAAATTTATGAGATGCAAAATTCAGAAAGCATCGGAAGGTAAACATTTTCTTTTGTTTAAAAAAAACTAATATTTTATAGTTCAACTGTTTTTTTTTCATCTACCGTTTACTTCGCTATAATGAGGAGAAAAGTTGTGTTTCGCTCGGCAGAAAAGTTGTTTTGTGTCTCGTGACTTGAAACCCTCGCTACGCTCAGGAATCTATTTTTGAGCCACTCGCTTCATTCGTAGTTCAATCTTAGCTTCCTTCACTTGCTCAGGTTTCAATACAAGCACTCGCGTCAAACAACAACTTTGCAGCCTTGCATAACAAATAACTATTTTATATATATATGTTAGGCTCCATATACAGTCATTGAGCAAAACAAGTCCACAATGCAGTGTGGTCTCTTTAAAATACCCATTACTCGTGCTATGTAAGGCACTTATTGAAATAGCCAGACCGTGTTGCGGCTTACTTAAAAGACTTGAATGCGTGATGGTCAAATATTTTGAGAACCACGACGCAAATTTCCTACTGCGGTATTTTTGAGTTAATTACAACGCGTTCTGTTTATTTTGTAAGTTATATAATACGTGTTATGGATATTTCAAAGAGACCACAACGTGTTTTGGACGTTTTTTGCGCTCAATTAGAGTTTTCGTTCTTTGAGCCTAACATATGTCATATGTATATAATATATACAAATTTACTTTTCCTCAATTAGTTTTAAAGCGAATCAAAACCATTGGGGCTACTCTCGATCTCCGTCCGACATCCGTCTGAAGCAATTACTGTCAAATAAGTAATATTCGACAAAATTAAAAGACAAGTATCCAGTATGAAGCTTCATTCGCATCACGCGTCTTTTCATTTGGTCAAGTATTGCTTATTTGGCAGTAATTGTTTCGGACGGATGTCGGACGGAGATTGAGAGTAGACCCCCAGGTCGTCCTCATTCAACGCCCATAGGACAAACTGTTGGTCCACTGAGGTCGTCAAGTACATTAATATGTAGAGGTATATATCAATATAGTTTTATTAAGTGCTGGGGATTTCCGTAGTTTCTACCTAACCCAGTGAGTGACAAGCGCGATACACTAACATCACGCATCCATGAATGCTTGTGTGTTCATGACCTTCGACCATTTACTTACAGTTCTGATCACTGTCTTCGATAAGTATCCGTAGTTTCTGCACGCACAGCTGAACTGACGCGGCGTGGCCGGGCATACCGCTGCTGATGCTGATCAGTACGGCAATTACCGTGTTGATGCATTCATATAGAAGAGACATCGCTGACGTACTGTGGCACATAATATTACAGTGTGGTATCTTATGGGGACCGATCGTACCATAACGTATAAAAAAAAACACAATAAGGCGCTACGCAAACGTGGACACTTGGTTATCAACACAAAACACTATCGCAGGAATTCGTGGTTGCTGTGTCAGGTAACGGCAACCGGACATAGTAGTCACGATGACATCGATGAGCAAGACTTATTTGCTGCTGATTATAAGTCGATATAGACGTCGTCGCCGTCAATACTTACAGGTAAATCAACCCATGACAGCAGCACTTTCTAGTTGCTTTAATCGAACACTTTGATTAGCAAGCGGTGTACGTCGTGTAGACGCAACGGGAAACAGCAGTGTCAACATTTCACATCTCCGGTGAAACAGTGACTTAACTTAGCGAAATTTGGCAGAAAGCGAGTTAAAGGTTTGATTTTATGTTTTCACGGCTACTGAATACATTTGAAGATCTTTTATTTTATTATTTGGAACATGTGCAGCATAGTTTTATCAATAAAATAATGTTAAGTAACAGATGACAGTGGTAATTACAAATCTCCACAAATAGCACAAAATTATTTCATATATTAAGAATACCATTTTTAAATTGTTATATTATATTACACTCTGTGTACAAATTTCATTGTTAAGTCATTGTAACATTTTTTCGCAATTAAAGGACTATTCGGTCTAATACCGTGCAGCGCGCGAGCTGAGCCACGTACGAGGCTCAGATTGGAAATGCTGCGTACATTACATATAAAGTTATTCACATTACATTGCATTATATTTTGCACATCGAGCTATTTCCGAGCTCGTCTGAGCCTCGGATGCGGCCCGGCCCACCTCGGCTCATTGTAATGTGAACACTCTCCAGTGAAGTGACTACGTTCTTTTTTTTTTAAATGGATGATGAAAAATTAATTGAGTGCGTAAGAAATTACTATAATATGATATAACACTATTATATTCGAGTTTTGAGATTGACTCAGTCTAATTTAAGATCGCGTCACGTAAGAGGCTCGGATGCCTCAGACGCGCCTCGCGCCCGGCACGGTCTAATGTGAATATGAATGTGCAGCACGTCTGAGACTCGGACGACTCGGGCACGGCTCGCGCCCGGCACGGTAAAGTGAATCGTCCTTAACTTTGTGATTCACCGTAGATGGAATAATTAGGTTTATTTCATATTAATTGTATGAAAATATATAAATAGCATTAGTTACCAGTTGCGTGTATCCAACACAAGACAACAAAGTATCTACGTTTGCGTTGTGCCTTAGTGTACAGAGAGAAACATCTAGAAAATGTAGAGGTGAATTATATGCGGTATCTTGTGGGAAAACGTCAGTGCATGTTATGAAATGTACATGCTCAAGAGTAACCTGTGATAGAATATTTTAAACATCAATAGCTACTTGATTAAGAACTTTCATTTAATACATCTTTAATAGGCAGTGAAGCAAGCAATCGTTTACAAACTCGAACAGTAAGTAATCAAAGTGTATAACTATTATCTACATGAAAATATACAAATGTCTAACTACGCAATGTATAATAAAGATAATAATTCAACTAGTAATTTTAGATCCTCTAAGAAAATGGTTAATGCGACAATTTACGAAGCTGTATTACAAATCAAACAAAGAAGCAGTGGAAGCAGCCATTAGATTGTACTAACACCAATAAATTTATTTAAAATAGCCTTTATACGATTGGCAATATAGTCCACGTTTGTTAATAGCAAAGTAAAAGTCTCCCTTCACCCCATAGAGACCAAAATAGAGAATAAAATGAAGCATTGTTATTTTATGTTATTTTTATCAAAAATAATGTTTGTGTTATGCCTGGGACCAACTTAATACTTAATTCAGACGTTAAATGTTATTTTTTGTAGCCAGTGTCTTTTTCGTACGCAGACGAAGTAGCAACTGTCGGCTATTTAACAACTAACTCACCTATGAATTAAGTTAGTTAATGGCTCAATCAGTTTCTTGCCAAGTCGAGGCTCTAATGGGGTTAAGGCACCAAACTGCAACAAACACAATGACTCTACTTAACACTAGCTTAATTCATTCGCTAAATGATAATGACGCCTATAAAATATAACGCTCTTCTATGTTATTATGACGTGTTTCCCTATGACATTATTACGGTTTATCTAAAACAAATTGTCGTTAATCTAAAATAATTTTGATCTTTCCTCATTATGCAAATTAGTTGTTTTACATGTAAAATAAACGAGCTTCCCTAGAAATGTACTTTGTTTAAAAACTTTAACCTGTTGTACCTAATATTTGAGTTCACGTCTTGTTTTAAATAGCATTACATCATTTCTCGTGTCTCGAAGGTAAATAAATGAATATTCAAATAGGTTTGTTTGAATCTGCGGCGAAAATAATCTAAAACGTGATATGTGCTGATTAAGAGTGTTTATTCATGTGAATTGTTGTTTCTTTCGGCATGCTTCACGATTGTTGCAACCAAATATCAGACACTTTTAGAATACATAAAATCAAGTCATCGGATGTATGTGTTTTATGAACATTCTCTGAAAAATAACACTATACTAAGAGCTATTTAGCACGTCAATAGCGAGCATTCACCCCTTCCTACCACTATATGTTACACGTTATTTGTGAAAACAATACTCTCCAGTATTCCAAATAATGAGCGAAAGTGTTATCGTTAGCGTATCGTGGTAGAAATCATCTTAACGTACAGATGATCTCGGGAGTTTTTTATTTATAACTATAACATGTACATACATAAAAAAATGTAAGTAAATTTGCATTCCTTTTACGGCTATGTACAACATTTGAATAAAGGGAATATACATAACTTCCTACTTAAAATGAGACTTAATGGGAAGTAGAAGAATTAGTTGCAAAGTTTGAAATAGTTTAAGAGTAATTAAAGATATTAATTAATGACTTTATTCTTTAAAAAATATATAATAAAAAACACAACAATATTTCAATACGAATCAGAACCGCTACTTTCCTAAATATTTTAAGTTATGTCATTGTAAAAGCCAGTGATAACGCATTATGTTACTCAAGTGTCAAAATTGCGACAGTTTTACGGGGATCAGCGATCGGTCACTGTCGAATTGTGATTTTGGGATGAAAGTCGGTTCAATGACCGCTAATGACATGGTTAATAACACTCGCTATAGTATAGCACTACTTGCTATTTATTGTTTTTGTACAGGGTTAAAACTTAATTAATGCCTCCCTAAAGCTAATTTTGTAATGTCCCTCGAGTTAAGCTTGAAATAAAAGACGGTATTGTAAAAGTGTCTCATGCGTGTCGCAAAGAGTAAAGCCTTCCTGTGTATAGACAAAAATGTGGCATTTGTTTCTAAAACGAGTCTCAATGGTGAGGCGTGGTGAATGAGTCTAGCGTCTGGCAACTCCTTTATATCGCTGTTACAACAACTTTGTACCTGCATATAAGATCTATGAGGCTTTGACTTATTTTCCGCCCGATATCTGGCTCATACTGTGTCATTAAACCAAACTGTGGAGAATTTACACATAATAAGATTCATTATAGAGGCAAACCTATTTATGTCTGACAGTGTTGAAATTACAGAGTTACGAATTGCATTATATCACGAAAGGTCGAATCGCAAATTGAAATAATAAAGTGGCGAAACTAAAAAAATAACATTTCTGGGACATTTCAAAAGAAATTACGTACGAAATAAAGTCATTGTCTTTTTTTGTAGTGTTGCAACGAATAGTTTATTCGGCGTGGCCGAATACACGAATATTAGGCCACACTACTCGGCATGATTAAAGCATACACGAAAATTACCACTTATTAATTTCAGCTATGACAAATAATTGTGTACAATAAAACAAAAAGAAAGTACGTTCTCTTGCTTAGTTGGTATAGCGTCTGGTACGGTATGCTAGACATCGGTTCGAATCCGGCCGGACCGAAGGAATTTTTTCTGAGTGTTCGATCTTTATATAATAATTATATGTAGGGCGCACTATAAGTTTCCGGAATGAATAAGAAAAAACTACTATAAATAGTCAGAAATGAATTTATTGTTTCTCAAAATATTCTCTGTTAGCGATAATGCACTTTTTATACGATGAACTAATTTTGAAAACATTTATACCACTCCTCCGTGACAATCTCTGAAGCATATTTTTCATACTCTTCGACAGCCTCTTCAAGTGATGAAAATCGTTGATCGCGTAACTGGTTCTTAATTTTTGGAAATAAATAAAAGTCACAATGTGCCAGGTCGGGACCGTACGCGGGATGGCTCATAAGGTCAACGTTGTTCACCTTCAAAAATTCATTTATCTGTCTGGCCGTGTGAGAACTGGCATTATCGTGGTGCAAGATGATTTAGCGTTTACGGTTATTTTTACGGAGTTTGTCAATAACTTCCGGCAAACAAATGGTCGTGTATCAATCACAATCAATCCACGGTATAACGACTCTCCAAAGCAACAGTGGCCCCGTGTCTAGTTTTATTAAAAAAAGAAGCAATCATCCGCTTAGAGGCACTTTGCACGTGCGCCACTTTGGTTGGTTTCGGCTCATCTCGAAAGACTCATACGTTCGATTGCTGCTTTGTTTTGGGATCGTAACTATAAATCTATGTTTCGTAACCTGTTACTATAGCCCACACCAAATTTGACGCCCCTTCGTTGAATCTGGTAAGCATGGCATTGCATCAAGCGACGCGATCCATTTTTTGACCCTTAGCCAGATTGTGTGGGATCCACCGAGGGCACAGCTTTTTCACACACAATTGTTTGTGTAGTATTGATTGTACTTGACTCATGCCTATTCCTAAAGATGCCCGAATCTCATGGTATGTCACATGCCTGTCTGTTTTGAACGTACGGCGCACAGCATCGATGTTTTTGTTGTTCACAGCAGTGGACGGGCGACCATCACGAAATTCGTTACTGAGATTTACACGACCGCATTTGAATTCTGCAAACCAGCTATAAATAGTCGTCTTGCATGGTGCTTCATTGCCAAAAGCAATTTGAAGAAGAGCGACACTTCGCTGAACTGTTGTAATACACTTAAAAGTCGTAGAAAAACATACTACGAAAATTTTGACGAGTTAAATCCATGGTGATGTAGACAAACAATTTCTAAAATGAGGCCACAATGTAAAAACAAGTGACAGTCAGATGAAACAAACTGTATTCTACAGCCAAAGAGTTCCATTTTCAAGTGTTGTAATTACTTTTTAAATATTGTTTATGTAAGTAGCCAGATCCGGAAACTTATAGTGCGCCCTATGTAACAAACTAGTGGAATAATTTGACATAAAAATAATTGAATATCAATTTAATACAAATTTTAATACAATGAATAGCGACAGCTTAAAAGTCGTTGAAAAACCAAATACAAAGATACGCCGTAAGCACATAGAGAAATTCGTGAGGTCCGCTGGTTCGTTCCGTGGCTTAGTTGGTATAGTGTCTGGCACGGTATGCTAGAAGACATCGGTCCGAATCCGGCCGGATAGAAGAAGTTTTTTCTGAGTGTTCGATTTACATTAATGATTATAACAAACTAGTGGAGTAATTTCACATAAATATAATTGAATATCAATTCAATAAAAATTTAAAAAAGAAGGTACTTTAATTTTCAAGTATATATGTATAGTTTAAATTTGTGACATCTTAATGAAGAAAGTAATTGTTTATTTCACTTCAGTTTGATTATTTTCAAAAGCTAAATTTTGCGTTTGTGTTGAAAATAATTGCTTGTCGATATTGTCAGCGTTTAAACTAGCGTACAAAGTAGTTTTAATTTGAATACGTCAGACATGACTACAGTAGAGCTAATTGCACAAGTGCAGCGCGCGCGTAGCGCATTCGCCAAATCTTTACGTACCCTTAGATAAAGAAACGAAATATTGCACTTTTGCGAACTCACAATGTAAGTTCAGCATTAATAAAAGTTTTTTATCTTCCTCCTGTTTTTAGGTATTCAGCCGAATAGTGATTTGATATTCAGTATTAGGTCGAATAGCAAAAAACAAGCCTAATACCGAATAGTAACCAAATAGTTGTTGCAACTCTACTTATTTTATAGGAAAAAGAATTTACTCATATTTGGCAGCAGACAGATTGCATATTATGAGCTGGTGCCACATTTTTTAAAATCTACTTTAGCAATTTTTCAAGAAGTCACAAATCGAATTTCGTCGCTTTACTATTAAGGCAACAATATATTTAAGCCGGGTCCAATTTTGTATCAGTTTGGGTGTTTCAGACCTCCCGACGCATACGTGACACGAATAAGTCTGGGGCAAACTACGACGATGACCTGTCATCAGAAGCTTGAACTTCAATCATTTGATATATCTTTAGTGTCGTAAACAAATGTGTTGTCAACGAAAGAGGACAAAGTTTTAACAACATACCAATTTGATGATTTTGATAAGCATCCAGTTGTTAGTGGACGTTGTCATGAGTTTGAAGAAGACTGGTGCTAGTGAGAGATAGTTCTTGGGGTTCTTTCTGGCCAGTTCGCATACAACGTTCACTGCCGCTGACTGTACGCCTGTAAAAAATGAAAAGTTTTTATTTAAAAAAAACTGACTTCAAAAGTTCGTAAAATTACATCTATTTGCATTGACTTACAAATAAATGGACGACGGGTCTAATACAAAAACCACGAAAAAAATGTCCCAAGTCAACCTATTCGAAATTAAAATTGTTATGTCATCGCAGTATCGCGCTGTCCGTAGAACAAATGAAGACTAAAGCGGAGTGTCGCGCTCTGTATACGATTTTAGCGCCTTACAAGTGCGGACACTTTTTAGCGCGGACCCGACGTCCATATAATTGTAAGTCAATGTCTATTTGTTAAATTTTATTGGGATGGGTTACCGGAAAGTGCGCGAAACCGGATTCATCCTCTAGTTTGTCACCCTTAGAGAGGGAATATTTTCTTCAAATTTAAATGAAACCAATAGTGAGGTACCCTCTTTCCACCAAAAAAATAGTCATCGAAATCGGTTCACTATCGGGTTATCGCGTATCACACAAAAAAATACAGTAAAATTAAGAAGCTCCTTTTTTTGAAGTCGGTTAAGAATAGACCAAACGCTTGTTGTATAAACAGTAGATTATTGAATAAAAATTACCACAAAAAATGAAGAAAAGCTATACCAACCAGTATTAAGAAATGTTTTGAAAAGTGTGCATGTTCAAGTAGTCTAATGTGGTCACTTTTCATGTTACTGTACCTGGTACAAACTAAAAAATCCCGTATACTATGTGTACCAGAGCAATGGAACTTATTCTGGGGCACTCCCCAGAACACACAAAAATCAATTTAGAAAAATTCATTTCCTAAATTAATCTTACCAGGAATCAAACCCAGACCTTCCTCATGCAACATCCATGATGCAAAACGTTGGGCCACCAAGGTCGGAGAATCAAGATCATTATAAAGTCACAAGACACTTAACTAGTAATTTTTTGTTTCCTACCAGAAACTTGTGATAAACATTACCAGGGTCAGGATCTTCTAATTTTTCCTTCAACTTAGGGAATGCAGGTCTGAGGGCTTCAGGATACCTTAGGAACACCTTATACATCATTAGAACAGCCTTCATTCTCAGGTACGGTTTTGTAGAACTCATCTGTAACAGAATTAAATTAAAATTGCAATGTTTTTAATAATATGCACTGAGTTTTATTTTATAAAATTGAATAATTTTATGTATTACTACATTATATTTTGTTGAAATAACCATTTATAAATAATAGTTTTCATTTGCTCCTTACTCATTTTAAATTTTAAAAATGTATATTGATTGATTATAATTTAAATGAACAGATGACATTAAAATTTTTTAAATGTAAGATTGTTGTAAGATAATAATGTTTACGCTCCACTAATGCCAAAAGGTTTGGGTAAAATACTGTCTCTCTGCTGACTATCATAAGGGAAATTTAATAGCAGTTTGTTTATTATAATATCTAGTAGTGGGACAACAATTCATACGTCTGGCGGTCAGTGGCATGCCCACTCATAATAAGTGCAGTGATACTCAGAGCTTTAAATCGCAAATATCTGAAGGGCACTGCCAATGCACTCGTAATCCTGACACAAGATTGGCAACTGGTTTCTCCAGTCAAAACCAGATCTATCAAAGCTAGAATACAGTAATGATTACATTACTGGTTGGCGGCAGAAATATCTCTGGTGGCACTTCTTGACTTTTTTAATATGACCTGTAACAATTAGGTGTGAATGTCAGCCTTGTTAATGTTGATCCCTTTTATTGTACTTTACTTAGGGTTACCTTCAAACACTTTTACAGAGTTCTCTAGTGCTAATAAATAGCACTAGAGAACTCTGTAAAAGTGTAAAACTCTGTAAAATGCTATTGCATTCGACAAATTTTTCAGGTCAACTAATTATCAGTTTATGGTTCATATTGTTTGGTGCCTTTAAATTCGACACTTGTAAAAGTGCTACATTGGTGCGACTGTGGCACTGCAGCAGCTTTTTGGTAATAGTCCGTATTAGTTAGTTATAAGGTTAGCTCATAAGGACTGCAAATGTCACATAAGTGGCACTACAACTGTGTTTCTAAATACATATTGTACGAAAATTAGTAGTGGCGCGGCCGCATAGCCACATAGACGCCACTACAGTGCCTAAATTTAAGGGGTCCTTAAACTGTACTTAGTGTCAATATTGGACTATAGAGGAGTCATAATCATATATTAAACACGGTAGTCATATGAAAATTAGAGTAGAATGTCTGTTTCTGTAGGCATACTCACTGTATGCCTACAGAAACAGACATGAGGTGTCAAATGATATTATACCTCACTGCTGGGCACAATCTCCTTCATAAGTCAATGTTGGACAAATAACAATCTGTGGGCCAACTCCAGCCCACTTATACCCTTTCTAAAGTAAGTGTGTATGGGCCTCATAAATATATTTTGGCAATCTCATTGATATTAACACACAAAATAACATAACATAATGTTAACAACATTCACACAAAATAACACACTACAAAATATTAATTAAAAATATTTAAAAGGAAAATGTATTTCTTCTGGCTCCCTGAGAGATTTCTTATGATTAATCTGACTCCTAATGAGAAAAGTTTCCCACCCCTAGTTAAAGCAACAGTTCAAATTCCGCTATGCGATTTTAATAAAACAAAAAAAAAGAGAAATAATAAAATACATACCAATGTCATGATATCATTTGCCAAATCTCTAGCTAAGTCATGAGAAATAAAACAGCTGAGGCCACTCAGCGCCAGTCCAGCTTCATACTGATTTTGAGCATTTAGGTCTTTCCGGATCATGTTCGTAGTGAGCATTAGCAGTTCCGAGTCAGCGTGGAATGATTGACTAGCAGCAAGGTAGCCGATCCTCTTATAGGTAAACTTATTTGAACTCATAACTTCTATTATGTTGAATATAGACCATGATATATCGTAGCCTAACATTTGTAGCTGTAACAAAATAATAAAACTTTTAATTTTAGTGTTGTTTACTTTAATATTAGTTACAGAAATTAAAGCTTGCTTAAAGGGCTATAAATTCAGTATTTATATTACAGTACTTACGTATGTTAATTTCGCGACCGCATTTGCTTTCACTGCTATGTTATCTTGGCGTAATTCTACTTTTATTTCTTCCATACATTGTGCTATGTATTTCGCCTGAAAACAATTTCAAATTTTGGAATTGTTTATTGACCTATTAAAATATCGATTAGGGGTGTGTTCTATAAACATAACATTAAATAAACCAATAAATACCTCATTATCTTTGTTATTTCTGATACCTCGAACTAAATCCGTAAGGTTTTTATCGAACATCCTCTCGAAGTTACCCTTTACTTTTTTCAGAGCCATGTTGATGATTTTGGTTCTCAATCATTTAAAAATCTTATAATTATCAACTACAAACTAAAAACATGACCGCACTACACTGAAAAAATCAAGAATTTCGTCAAACGAGGATGTCTGGGATGTCAAAAACTCAAAATTAATGACATTTCATTTGGTGCAATGTTGGCATTAGGGATGCCCTTGCTACCGTTAGCACAGCTGATTCTCTAAATGATCTAATCGTTCTCAAATATTTTCAGAACACTCTGAGTTAGACAAAAACCATGACAACCTATTATTTACTGTTGGTATTGTAATTATTTTGTATTCAGCTGAACTTTATAGGATTTTATAAATTTCACTACTTTCCATAATTCTAATCTTAAACATAGTTTTGCTTGACCGACATACACTAGTTAGGACATAAGACTCTTTTTCAAATCGAACATGAACCGAACCTATATCTCCCATCACTCGCAAGCGGATTACAAAAATATAAGAAAAAAAAAACTACTAATAGTACATACATATTATGTCAAAATAAAGTCCGCTTGTATGCGATTCGCTCTGGACCTTTTGGAGGGAAAAGTTTCGTTTTTATTTTGACTTTCAATTATTTTGTGAAATCTAGTTTAAAGTGGAATAGGATAGTGCTATTGTGCCTTAATCGCAGATTAAAACGCGAAATTATACGAATCTCGAACTAGAATACCCGTAGCGGCCCGTTTTAAGGAATCCCGAGTCAATCCAAGCACGCCGCCTCAAATTGCCTATCCTGTTTGTGGCGGCCATATTTACAGAAACATAAACTTCATGTTTAGGCCGATGGCTTTGCCAAAGCCTTAATAAATTTAAAAAAAAATCCGCTTGTATGCGGCTTGTTTTTTTGCTTGTTTTGTTTTATATTTCGAGGAAATTGTTTCCTTTCAAAAGTTGATCATACTAATTTGTTAAGTCCTTTATAAATTTTATGCAAGTGACCCATAAAAAAATTCTTAAAGTTAAATACCAATCGAGTAATTAATGTTTCAGTGATCCATTTATTACGCCCAATAAGCTCGACAATGATTATTTTTTTGAGTGAATTGCAGAGAGAACACCTTAGCTTACTACATCAACATTCTGCGCAAGGTAAAAATCTACTCGTACCAATAGTTCAGTTAGGAAACTATTCCTCGTGGTCGCTATTAATAATTGTAAAGACAAAGTACATAGATTTCTCTGTCTAAACCCATTTATTTTCAGTCCTAGTGGATTTTTGTAAGCTGGCCATTGACTATCTAAATAATGGGAGTAACCCTAAAAAGTATGGAATTGCGGCAGGTAAGTGATTAATTATATTTATAATTAAGTATATGATTTTTCAGAGTTTCAATTTTTAGTCGCAAATTTGTCAATAACAGCTTATTCTAATGAGAATCACTCTTCCTACCACTAATATGCATATAGATAACCCATTTGCTTATAATTTTAGGTACTTGTATCAATAGAATGACACCTCCAATGAACACTATGCCAACTTTATATTTGGGTCATTTTCTGTTATTTTTATAAACATACATATTTTTATTTACTAATATTGTGGTCCCCAAATTTTGTGAAAAGAAAAAATAAAAATAGAACAGGTCCAAAAAGAAGGTTGTGTAGTGTCATTCGATGTATTGAGAAGAAAGACTTGTAAAAGCCAATTCTAAAATTGGTTTTTGGACTGACAATAACAAATTTATTTTATTTATATAATCTAATTACAATGAACATATTTAATTACCAGTGAATGGAATAGGTAATGTTTATTTACCCAAACTTCGAGGAACAGTGATAAGTAGTGGAACCTGATTTTTTCAGGATTCGGGAAATCACTTGTGAAAATGGCATTTAATAATCAAGATAAAATCCGTCTGGTAAAATTCTAGTAACATCTAAAAGAAGAATCCTTTTTATCAAGTTAATTCCAGTAGGATTGAATGTGTACAGAAAAAGTTCTTACATAATGTCTGCTACACTGAAGGAGTTCTAGACACCCTTTCCCATTATGTGGACCAGCTATCCAGGTATAGGATCCTATTTCTGTCCAACCGCAGAATTATGTTAGATTTATGCTTCTTACATAAAATTATAAATAATGCAACAGATTCTCCTCAACTTTTGCAAAAAATTAACTTTACAATTCCTAGGTGTAACGGGCGTCCCATTAATTATGTTCCATTTAAACATAGATTTTTGCAGGACAAATTTAGGTTTAAGTGCCCTGTAACAGAGTTATAAAAAAATACAACAATGTATTTAAAGTCATGAATCTCGACAGATTTAATGACTTGCTAGCTATCTTTAAAAATAAAATTAAAAAATATTTTATTCAAAATTCAGAATGATCTGTTTTGTACCATATCGTTTGTTTATATTCTCATTCTAATGTAGGGATTATATTGTTTTTATTTATTTTTCTTTTTATAAAGAAAGTAGGGATTGTAATTATAAAGAGTAATTGAATAATTAATTTTCATATATCCTTGAATCTGTATAGCTTGCTGTGTTAGCCAATAAGTATTGTGTATATATCTACCTTTAAACTTTGTAAAGTGTTGTACATTTGCTATTGTTGTATATCCATCATATACAATGAGTAAATAAAGAAATAAAAGAATATTGTCACCACAAAATACCATGTTATAGCGGTCTTACCTTTTATAATTGTTATTAAAATGCTGGCTGTATTATTTATATTGGCTACTATTTTTAAGGGGATATGTAAATAATTACTGTGTCATACATGACTGTTTGTTGCCACAAATAAATTTATAAAAGTTCATAGAGTTGTTTAGCGTGCTTAACGCTTAGTGTAGTAGAAAATCATACTACGGAAATTTTGACGAGTTAAATCCTTGGTGATGTAGACAACCAATTTCTAAAATGACGCCACAATGTAAAAACAAGTGACACTCAGATGAAACAAACTGTATTCTACAGCCAAAGAGTTCCATTTTCAAAATTTGTAATTACTTTTTAAATATTGTTTATGTAAGTGGCCAGTTCCGGAAACTTTTAGTGCGCCCTTTGTAACAAACTAGTGGTATAATTTGACATAAAAATTTACCTAAACTTTAAAAATGTACCTAAGTGATTTCCCGAATCCCGAAAAAATCCGAGACAAACAAATGTAGTCATAAGGCAGTCTCCACTATCGGTCTCTCTTTATCGAAGTTAAGTTAAAAGCTCTACCTATTCCAACAACTGATAATTACTGGACTTAGTAAGGACAATATTAACAATAATAAAAGTTATGGATGTCACTGGGTTACCTATGATACTTTTATGCCTATCATCAACCAATCTATTGATCCTAGTTATCAGTTTGGTGAATGTTTTGTTATTTGCTATAAATTGTTACATAAATATAAATCTTAAAAATATAAAAAACAAAATAATGTATAATTTTTTTGGGCTGTTACATTATTTTTTTCCCTAAAATATTGAATGTTTGCAGAATAAAATTGTAGCTGTTTAGCTTATATACAAATGGCAGCAGATCAAGCTATACCAATGTATACAGAACCGTCCGTTCAATCCGTCAATACGGATCTTGTTCTGTTGCGCTAGAGGTGATATTCAAACAAAAGTTGTATATAGCTTGATGTGCATTTGACTGTACATGTATGTAACAAGGATGTGTTTTCCTTTTCTGCAAACATTGAATTATTTCATTAATTTGACACAATTCTAGGGTTACTACAATTTTTCTTTTACATATTTATCTTGAATTTGTAAAAGGTTGCTGTTGCTTTTTTAATCAATTGGAAAATAGCTAATTTTCTAATTGTATTATTCTCATTTATGCGCATTATTTTATTATATTTTCATTATTTTTATTCTTTTCTACTTTTAAACTGGCTCTGTGGCCGAACGGTTACCATGCAAGACTGCCTTGCAGAGGTCCCGGGGACTATTCCCGGCCTGGAAGAAATATTTGTATTGCCCACATTTATTTCTCTCGTGCATTTGGGTGTAATTTGTGGTTGTCTTTGGGTCGTATTTTAGAACTCTACTCAATGCTCAAGTCAGGATTGCAATGGAAACACAAGCACTGGAAATACGACCCTAATGGCAGGGACTTGAGTATGATTTCGAGTGCTTTAAACCATACTTAAATCCTGACTTGAGCATTGAGTAGAGTTCTAGAATACGACCCTATGTGTGTGTCCATGGCACCCGTAATGCAGGGCAAAAATTTAAATTAAGTAATTTAATTTTCAGAAAAACTGGATGTGTCTATATCTGTTGTACAAAACGTAGTTCATGCATTGGTTTATCTTTTAGTTGAAGGATGCAAACACAATGTAAGTAATTTGAAAAATCATAGAATTCATAAAGTTGTTTAGCGTGGCGTAACGCTTAGGTGCACTAAGAAGAAATAACAGTACCAGAAATGTACTTGTCGAAGATACTCACTGCTTTTTAAATTGATAATTGTAATTCTAACTGTCACTATTAATTACGCATAAAATTAAATAAAGCAACATTTTAAATTAAATTACTATAATGAAACCTCATAGTTTGTAATAAGTTTAAGAATGTGAAATATTCAACTTCTTTGTTCTAGCTAACAGAACCAGACTTCAAGTCATCGTTAGCAATTGCAGGGTTCTCTCCAGATAAACAAGAGGTGTTGTTAAAGTTGTATATCACGAAGAAAAACGAGCTATCAATAGCTTTGAATTTATTACAACAGAAAGATCCTAGCTATCAAGACTTTACTTGGCGATTTGAAGTTCAGGTAAGAGTCAAATTCCACTAAACTAAACGCATTATGGTTTAAATGTCGTAATTGATAAGTTTATCAGCGCTTTAGCATTCTCTGTCAGACAGACTTGCATCATAACTCCTACAATGGTATTCCTATTTTAAACGGTTGCTGATTGATTATTATCAGTGATTTATTGGACTGCCAACCCATGACGGGGCGTTTGCTGTAAAGGTATGTTCGTGTGTTGCTGTGAGCAATATCACTGACATTGTGATTTAAAGCAACGCTAAATAAATCTGTAGCAGGGATGCCGCAGATGTGGGTTATGTCGATATCTACAGATGTGGACACGGATGCGAATTTTTCAACGTTGACATCTGCAGATGCGGATGTGTGAAAAAATTTTTTTTTCGGAATAAAGTAGTTCATTGTGGATTTGTAATCACTTATAAGATCTATCGTTAATTTAAGTAAAGTATTATCTTTTCGCATCATTTTATTACAAAAGAGATAAAAGATAGAAGGCATAGAAATATTATGACATAAAAATTAAAGTTTTTAAAGACGTCGCGGGCCGTCCTTCATGAGGATAGAGATGGGCTATCTTGAATGAAAAAGTTAGAACGCAATATTTCATATTTTCAAAACAAACAGAACGTTGCTTGCACTAGACGCTGCCGCATTCTCGATTCTTGATTGGCTAATTAGCACTAGTACTCGGCACGCGCATTGAGTAGGGTTTGCTCCCGACGATATTGTCGTGACCTGCAAATTACCCGTATCCGCAACAACTCTGCGTCCATTTATACGGATGTCGGATGCGGAAGTAGAGATTTAAAAATATGCGGATGATCCGCGGCTGCGAATGATCTGCGGTTGCGGATGCAGATGAGTGCGGCATCTCTAGTCCGTAGTAAGTTCGTGGGCTGGTAGCTTTATGGTATCCAGTATGCGCCACATTCGAACCTACAATTACGCGTCCGCCTTTATTGACTCCGCTACATCACACTGTTTGACCATTATAGGTTGCCAAGTCACATATTGATTGATCCATGTAGTACCTATAATATCGTTTTATGTTGAAAAACTGAAATATAATGTCTCTATGACGAGTAATTTTATTTCAAATGTTTTATTTATTGATATACAGGATGGCCGGGATAGTGACGTCCAAAAAAAATTTAGGTGCCTCACATTGAGGGGTATTCGAATCACCCCCAAGTATGTTCCGCGATTTTTCGTAATTTTCGAGTTATGATTTTTTTAATGGGTTTTTGAAATTTTCAACAGGATCGGCTCATTCGGCTCTACATTTTTTTTTTCTCAATTTGTACAACAATTTTTCGGGTTTTTTTTTGTTACTCAATCTTTATAACTCTCTGTTCTAGTCTGAGTAACAAAAAAAAACCCGAAAAATTGTTGTACAAATTGAAAAAACAATGTAGACTCCTCCGTGGCCTAACGGTTACCATGCCAGACTGCCACGCTGAGATCCCAGGTTCGATTCCCGGGCCGGGTTAAATATTTGTATGGCCTAAATTTATTTATCTCGTGAGTTTGGGTATCATTTGTGTGTCCATGGCACCCGCGACACAGGGTTTCCCTAGTGCGGGACTTTCTTGAGTGTGTGCGTTATTATTCTTATTATTAAATCGATTGAAATCAAATTAATTGTATTTTTTATAAAATTTGTTCAAATTTTCGCTGGCGGTGAGTGTAGCACCGCATAAGTCACCACTGGTTACAATGACTAATTTTATTTTAGTGATATTAACGAGAGCTCGAAATTGCACTGTAGTGGTGTGCACAAATTCAACAATAGCTTCTCCTGTAAGCTCACAAATACCTCTACATATGAAACGCCGATACCTCGCTGATATCACTATACCTACTATTCGTGACATAGAACGCAATGACTAGGAACAGACAGACGTCCTTTAGCGTTAAAATCATATAACATAGTCAATATATTATTATTTTTGATTTTCAACAGGTAGCATCAAGATACATCAGCGAACAAATCAAACCAATGGTAGCCATGGACTTTATACTAATGAGTCCAAAGAACTTCGGTCAATCGAGCATGGACAAACTTGGACAGACTCAAAACAAATGTATATCTTCAGTATATATTAATTCTAGTGTACAAGATGCTAAAGCCACAAGCCATTGCCAAAATGTTATAAACCATGTTTTACTACAATGTGATTTGCCGAATTTAGTACATCTTACTAATAAACTGGAATTAGCCTTAAAAGAATCTAAAAGTCAGCATGTTAGAAAAGTACAAAGAGCACTGTAAATTGTAATCGAGGCTATCAGCGCAAAAGTGGTGTAAACTACATTTTATTTGTATACAATACTACTTTTAATGATACTAAAGTACTTACATAATTATTTCAAATTTGGATGCTATTTTCATCTGTAAAAATACTTAATTATTTTTTTTATACATGAAAATAGCATCCAAATTTTAATTAATTGTATACTTTAATGTCGTTCAAAGTAATATATCGAAAAAAAAATTGAATGTGGGTGACATCACCTTTGCGCTGATAGCCTCAATAACAAGTTCAATAACATTAATATTTAAAAAGTAGAATGTAAGTTACTGTAAGTAAAGTAAATTTTAATTTAACTATTACTGTTTTTCATTTTATTTCTAGCCTTATGCAGATGAGAAGATCAAAAAGTTGTGGTTGTTGAAATAACTCGAAAATTTGACGTGCTATTTTGGTGTTGCCATTTGTACCAAGCTGGCGCTCGATAAGTTATGGAAAGTGTCTTTCAAAAATGTAACATTTCATAAATTAATTCTTTATTGTACAAAGAAAACACATTAAAAGTCATGTTAAAAAGGACGGATATAATGCTTAAGTTATCTTTAGAAGCGATTTCTTCCAGACAACCCTAGCCGCGATTGAGAACGAAACCCTGCAGGACTTATTATTGCACAACAAAATTATAAAAATTATTAAATTAGGTTCATTTCGTCGTAGCCAGTTTCGAAACCGCTAATACATATACCGGTGCCCCACGGCCACGCGACACGGAGGGAAAGTACTTAAATATTGTAGACTGGATAATTTCCTTCACGGAGATATTATTTTATTTAAGAGGAAGTAATACTGCATTCAAGGACTTTTAAAAGATTGCTTGCCTTATCTGGGAATAGAACCGATCAAATGTGATTTCCTAAACTTAAATTTATCATTGTATTATTTTAATTAAGACATTATTATTATTAAGGTACTATGTTAATTAAAAGGAATTAACCCTTATAATTGACCCTTTCGATCGGCATCATAAAACATAGGTGGTGATTTTTTCACATTTGGAGGGTTCGATTCCCAAATAAGGCGAGCCATTTTTAAAAGTTTGCAATATATAAAGTAGATACTTTCCTTGCCGAATAGCCGTGGAACACGCTGTACACACACACATAATATATATATTACACATATAAACATCATTGCATAAACAAACATCCTGTTATAAATGCATTTCCGCCATTGTACTGAGTTACAGACCTTTTTAGCTCGCACCACTATTCTTACTAAACACTGCAGAGCTTATACAGGGTGGAAATTTGTAATGCCACTTGGAAGGAAAGTACGTTAAATACTGGAGATAGAAATTTTTACTTAAAGGAAACATTCCTTTATTTTTAAAAAGAAATAATACTGCATTCAAAGATTTTCGAAAATTGCTAGCCACACGTGGGAATCGAACCTGCTACAATCTTTAAAAAAATGCACCCTGTACTTTTATTAAATCAATCGATAGGGTCAATTATGAGGATGAAATCTCTCTTACAAACCATGAAATCTGGAGTTATAAATTCAATGGGTCAAGTTAAAGCACTTTTACTCAAAGGTCCATCAGATTACTACCGAATTTTTTGAGTAACATTGTGTGGTCTGACGAAACCAACTTTAGTAATAACGGCAACACAGTACAACCGCCGCAATAACCATTATTGGTCTCGAGTGACTCCTGTTTGTGTTCATGAAACTAACAATCAAGTAAGATTCTCTTTCAACGTTTGGTGCGGAATTATGAGAAATATGGTTGTGTTAGTCCACGTGTACGAAGGTCATTTGAACACTGTAAAGTATCTTGAAATACTGGATCTGTTAAGAAATGAGTTAAATGTTTTATCCGAGGAAGAGGGAAATCGAATAATTCTGCAGCAAGATGGCGCTCCAGCCCATAAATGCAGAGTCACTATTGCCTACATTAGTAACCATTTTAATACCTGCATTGGTACAAACGGCACAATCAGATGGCCTGCGAGATCACCTGATCTCACCCCTTTAGATTTTTTTGTAGGGATATGTTAAAAATCAAATTTACCTTAAATCCTATGCGAGTGTAAACGAGTTGAAGGCTGAGGTTCAGAATACGATTTGTAATACAATTCATCACAACATGTTATTAAAAGTTACTCAAAATCAATTCGTTAAAAGATTGTGTGAGAAAAGGTTGTATCCAAGAAAATGGAGCTCATTTCGAGCAACAAATCAGTTAGATTACCATTTTTTTTATTTTAATAAAATACGTTAAGATTTCATGGTTTTTTTTATTCATTTAATTAACCAATTTTGTGAGAGATTTTATTCTTATAATTAACCCAATCGATTGATGCAATAAAAATGCAGGGTGCATTTTTTTTCAGATTAAAGCGGATACGATTCCCGCATGTTGCTAGAAATTTTCGAAAATCTATGAATGCAGTTTTATTTCTTTAACAAAATAAAGGAATGTTTCCTTTGAGTAAAAATTTCTATCTCCAGTATTTAGAGTACTTTCCCTCCAGGTGGCATTACAAATTTCCACCCGGTATATATTTTTACTTAGTGTGTTAAAATAAACGATTTTATTACTATTATCCATTCTGTAAAAGTATAATTAAACTTTATAAGAATAACATTCATGAAAAATTGCGTGTAAAAATAGAAACCCTTTGGCTGCCATGACATTGTGGCTTATCAATTTGACGTAGAATTTCAAGGACACATTTCCCTTTCCTAGATACCATTGGTTCACGTGATTGGTAACATACATAACTGGTCGATGATAACGATAACACAAAAGCTACGTAACTCGACATTATTGTGGAATTGAGAAAACACGATTTGAAAATTTTGAAAAATACCGACCGAAACCAATATAATATATTCTCGTTTATAAATGGATAATTAAGTATTTTAGATAAATAATCACATTATACGCGATGAGATCAATTTAGTTTCTTTTTTTTAAATTTTCAAATTGTGTTTTCTCATTTCCGTAATTTTGAGTTACGACAGTGTTTCGTTTCATGTGCGATATGTAGGCAGTCGGCATCAAAATATCAGAGCGGTCGAACTAACACGAATGTTTGTACGTTTGTTAAAAAAATAATTTACTCTTATAAAAAATTGTTTTCAGTTTCAATTAAAAATGTGCCTTAGATACAAGGCAAAATAAGATTAATTCAACTTTATTTTGATGTTTTTAGTTAGTTTAATCTTTGTTATTTTTGATGCTAATTGAACATAAGACGTATCCAATTTATTACTTCATCATTGTTTTTTTATTCGACTACACATATATACGACTATACATACAACTGTAAATCAGTAACTAAAGCGATTGATAGTGTGAGATTGTTATGCCAATCAGCTGATTTTGTCTGCCTTCAAGAGACTTGGTTATTGTCTCACGATATACCCATATTCAGTGTTGGGCGTTAATCAATTAAATTTCAATCAATAATTCAATCAGATTAAAAAATCAATTCAATTGAAATCAATTGCAATTGAAAAAATCAATTCAATCAATTGAATTGCAAAAATCAATTCAATTGAAATCAATCGCAATTAAATCAATTGAAATCAATCGCAATTAAATCAATTGCGACGCGTCGCAATTGATTTAATTGCGAGGCCCCGGTTGGGGGCCCAGTTGGGCCCCGGTTGGAGGCCCGGTTGGGGGGCCCGGTTGGAGGCCCCGGTTGGAGGTCCCGGTTGTGGGCCCGGTTGGAGGCCCCGGTTGGGGGCCGCGTTGGGGGCCGTTTGTGGAGCCCGGTTGGGGCCCCGGTTTGGGGGTCCGGTTTGGGGGCCCCGTTTGGGGGCCCCGGTTTGGTGGCTCGGTTGGGGGTCTGTTTGGGGGCCCCGGTTGAGGGCCCGTTTGGGGGCCCCGGTTGGGTGGCTCGGTTGGGGGGCCCGGTTTGGAGCCATCAGGCCCCTAACCGGGCCCCCCAACCGGCCCCCTAACCTGCCCCCAGCAGGCCCCCAACAGGCCCCCACAACCAACGCCCTAACTCACCCCCATATGCCCTATAAATTTATCATAATTGTCAGTTTTAATTGTTAATTGTTAATCAAAATCAAATCATTGAAAAGATTGAAAATTGATTAATTGTTAATTGTAGATATTTGCGATTAACGATTGATCAATTGTTAGTTGCGAGAACCGCAATTAACAATTGATCAATCGTTAATTGCTGTTTCGCAATTGACAATTAATCAATTGTCAATCTTTAATTGCCAGAACAATTAAATTTTGCCCAACACTGCCCATATTAGGTACAATCAGCCCTGATTTTGCATTTACAGGAAAATCAGCTGTGGATACGTCGAAAGGTGTACTGCGGGGGCGACCGTATGGGGGAGTTGCGATTTTATGGCGCAAGAGTGTTCTTAATAATGTGTCAGTTATTGTGTGCAGTAGTGATCGTTTGGCGGCCATAAAAGTGCAGATAGCTGACAGATCGTTTCTGTTATTTACAGTATACATGCCTACTGACGTCAGTGGTTCGTTAGATAATCTAGTTGAATTTTCAGAGTGCTTAGGTGAAATTCATGCCATTGTGGAAGGAAGTAGTATCGACTCTGTGTTTGTTCTGGGGGACTTTAATGCGAATATGAGAAAAAGATTTGGTGATGAACTGCGTAGTTTTTGCGTAGATCAAAACTTTAGGTGTGTTGATTTGGACTGGTTGGGTGAAACATCAGATACGTATACGTTCCAGAGTGACATAGATGGGACTAGAAGTTGGATTGATCACTGTGTAGTGTCGGAAGTTCAGTTGAGGATGTGCATGTAAAATATGATGTATCCTGGTCGGATCACTATCCCGTGATATTAAAGTGTAACCTAAACATCCTTAGGCCTAAAATTGCAACAAATTTTAATCAAAAAAGTGAAATTATATGGGGGGAGAGAGATGAGAGGCAGATCGAATTATTTACAAATTATTGTTTTAATCATTTTAAAGATGTAAATTTTTCTCCAGAATTAAATAGGTGTAGTGACAAGATGTGTAACAATGTACAGCATAGAAAAATGTTAGATGATATGTATGGATTAATTATAGGTATTCTGTCAA